TCAATGTATGTGTACAGCACCTATCTATTAATTATATACAAAACACATAGTGTGCTTGTCTCTCTCACACACACACAAGATCATCATCTGGTAAATCTAATTTAGGGAAAGCATACACACCTAGCAAAATTAGGAATTAAAACTGCAAAGACAAAAATGTAAAAAGTAAAAAAGCCTTTCATATATAACACTAAGCTAATAAATTTAAAGATATTGATGACATTATTGATTTCCTAAAACCATAATTTACCAAACATTGAGCTGAGCAAATACCAGGTCATGTACATAAGTGAATTTTTAAAAGATGTTACAGAATTATATATTATATATGCATAGATTATCTGCTATATTATTCAGCAATATCATTATTTTGTTATTATATATATATATATATATATATATCATAACAAATAATATCATCTAAATCATAACAAAATAATCTTTCTCTAAGGAGCCTAAAAAGAACTCTTATTGACTGGCCTTATAAGTAATTATCTCCTCCTGCATGCAAGACATGTCCTAGGCAGTCATCAGGTTCTGAGCTATCTTATGTTTTAGACCTCAGGTTTACTTAGGCCACCTTTATGATCAATTAGGTCTTAGGAAGACCCTCCTGGCCCATATTCTCAGGCTGAATGACTCATAAATAATTTTCAGATCATAAATTTGCCAACATTATAACTTAGGTGAGAAGTATATCCAGCAGAAATGCATTTTAAAAATAAAAGATGTTAAACTAATCTTTTAAAAAATCCCAGGAGGAATGTATTTATGGAAAAATTGTGTTATTATTGCAGAAGATCATATTGTCTGAAAAATACTCTCAATGTAAAGATAACATATAGAAGGATTTTCAGCAGGATTCAACAATAGAACTTAATGTATTTGGGTGATTAGTTACATACTTTTGATTTGATTATTTAGTGATTTGTTTTAGATTTTGTCTATTGGAATTTCTATGAATTACAATTAGTATCAGCAATATGCTCGGAATCATGCTAAGTGTTTTACCAATATTGTCTCATCTAATTCTTACAACCAATGAGATAGTTATTATTATTATTATCCTCATTTCATACAAAACTAATACATACTCATTTATACAACAATTTGACTATGTCTCAGACACTGTTATAGAGATGAATTAATCAGTATTCAGCATGAACAACACAGACACACATCCCTGCCTTTCTAATGCTTACAGTCTAGTGAGAAATATGCATTGAAAAAAAATAGTGATGGGCAGACAATTAACAAAACTCCCTTTCTTTGCTGCATGAGAATCTGACTTTTGGTTAACTCTCTAGTTTTGTTCCCCTGGAAATCTGATAAGCATAGATTATCTGCTATATTATTCAGCAACATTATTTCCAACGAAAAATAACCCAGGTTGGGCAATTGTATCTGGATTAGTAAGACATGTAAAGGAACTATAAATCCATCCTGGGAATGTCATACCTCAGGCTTTCCTGAGTATAGTGATTCTTGTAATGAAGATTGTTCTTTGTAGGAACACTGTGTGCTGCAGCCACAGAGTTGTTAAAAGAATACTAGTTTTTATCATGTTTTAGGTTATCGGTCAGGGAATCCCCCACCCCTTCCCAACGTGGATGCCATCTCCTGGCACCTGAACTGACCTTGGACAGGTGTATGGACTATTCTAGGGAGTGCAGCAAGGGCTCCTGTTGAGAAGAGTCCTTGAAGCCACCCTGCTAGCCAGCTGTGGTTTGTCAATATCCTTTTGCAGCAATAGGTTCCTTGTAAGTTAGATTGTTGTCTTAGAAGTCTGAATATTAAGCTAAACCTAAGGAAACTCTAGTGAGTATTGCCATAGGCAAGATGTGTGTATGGAAGATGGTGATCAGTGTTAATTAGGAAAGAGAGATAGGAAAGAGTGGAGGTTTAGAGGTAGAAATTATAATGCACTAGAACTAAAGGGTGGGCAGGGAGGATCTCATTGAGAAGGTGACCTTTATGAAATAACTTAGAAAGGTATGGGGTGATTTTACAAGCAATGAATACAAAGTCCATGCAACTGTAAGCTCTGTGAGGGCTGAAACTATGTTTTGGTTTTCTACTTTTACTCCAAAATATATTCCAGTGCTTGACAAATATTATCTTAAAAAATGAATCAATTTTTCCAAAGTCATGCGGCTAATAAGAAGCATAGCTGGGTCGGAAATGTGGAAGACTTAGTTTGTCCTTATCTCCCCTAAGACAACTAGGAAATCTGAACTACAGTGAACAAAATCTCCAAAGTCTTAACAAGAACAAACATTTCTTGCTATATAGAAGATAGCACTATTTGGCATACTTGAAAATTCTCCTTTCTTTTGCTATGGTGAGGTTGTAGATCAATTAAGGGTCTTTTTTATATTGTTAACGATTTCCATATGTATGTGTCTCTCTCAGTACCATCATGTACATATATATGATTAATATCATCACATTTGGTTTATTACAAAAATTCAGGATGAAGAAGAAAAGTCTTCAATTTTATATAAATTCTTTTGCCAATTTGAAATTTAATTTTTCTTGTCAGAAATTTGATGTGAATTTCAAATTCTGTTTTAAGAAATATAATAGAATGTGCACTTCTAGAAAGAATATTATTAGTGAGCCAGGGAAATTTTCAAAAATAAAACTTACCAGAATGTAAAATATCTTTATAATTATGTTTCTAAATTTTCACATCTTATGAATCTTATTTTTAATTTTAATACTTGTGATTTTTTTGTTTGCATTATTTTTACGTGAAAGCCTATATTATAGTATACTGATGAGATATAATAAATAAGATCATTATGCAAGCCAACTAATACAGATCCATTATATATTTAAAGATTTGTTCTGGGCGCAATATAGGTATCCTAGGAAGACTAGTAAGATCATTAGTCCTTTTGGTAAAAGAGAAGTTAAATAAATAGAAACAAATAACAACTCCTGTCACTACCAGTTCATAGTTTTTGTTCTGTTTGATTAATATGCATATACAATAAATTATCAGTTAAGACATATAATCTAGATAAAATACGAGCATAGTTTTAATTTAAGAATTATTGGCTTCTAACAAAGTAAACTTTATGATCTAAGAGGTAATGACTACAAATGGCTGCTTTAAATGGCATGGCCATGGATTCATTATTTTTTGTGCATTAAATAATGATTTTAATAAAAGTCTCGAGTTCATGTTCTGAAAGCTATTACCTTTCAGCTATTGCATATACCTCTTTGTCTAGAGGGCAAAGTGAACAACATCTCATATTTTTCTTAGGCACAATATGAAAGCATTAATTTCCTTCTGCCGCTTTGACAGAGCTCAGTGCTGTGGGGCAAGTCAATGCAAAATGATCACATTTTCACTTGTAATCAATATAGCTGGGTGACAGTGGACATCTATTTTTCATACCAGCATCCAGTAAAGTAAAATGATATGTGGATTTTCTTCAAAATAGGTGATTTTAGGATACACAGATGAAAATAGCATTCTTAGTAGGCCACTGAGAAAGTTAGTTATTACTGCAATTCCTTGGCAGCCAAGACAGATGTGAGTTTAGCCTTTCCTCTTCTCTTCTTCTATCTCTCTCAACGGGATAATTTGAAAATCTGTAACTTTACTTAAGGAGTTGGCTATGAATCATAGATGACAGAATTAGTATTTAAGGATAATATATTTAGTCCTTGTAGTGTCTCTGTGGACTCCTTGACTTCTAAACACCCATTATGTTTTAAGTGCAGAGCATAGATCTGCATTTTGTGCTGAAAAAAATGTAATTACCAAATCGCTGCAGGTTCATTTTTTCTAAGACGTATAGTTCTTACTCATGAGATTTTCTAAAATATGAATGAGCTAAATTATAGAAAATGTTTCAAATTGCCATTAGCTGGTTTTGACTGAAAAGCAGTGGATATTTGATGTTGAAATTGAAATGTTAGAATGGTTGGAGAAATGACTAACAATAAAAAAGCCTAACTTTCATAAACTCTATATTATAGGATCCTGTGAATTTCATATTAATGCCAAAAAGATACATTTTACTTTTCCAATCCTACAAAATTTCTGATCATCTTTCTATAAATAGATTTTGCATTCAATAAAATGATTTGGACTATGGCTCACCAAAAACAGAAGGGAAAGGAGAAAGAAAGGGAAAGAATGATGGAGGGAGGAAAGAAATGAAGGTGTAATAAGGGCTCTTAGGGCTGACTGATTGCAAGTGTAGAAATTACTAAGATTCTGTAGCCTTTTGGTCATGTCACCATGGATTCTCTCATTGACATATTGGCCACATTTTCAGCAATCTTGTCAGAGTAGTTTTCATTTGAAGGTGAGGGAGAGCATTACAGATGATGGTTCTTATTTTGTTTTTCCTGAGGCTGCAAATAGTGTAGATCTCAAAACAGCACTGGACTCATGGGTACATGCAATGTCCTGTGCATGTTTTCACCACCAGAATGCATATTAAGATCAACCTGGAACAGATTTCTGTAATTGTTAATTGTTCGATTACTTTGAAGCCATTAATTTCTAGACAATTCTTTTAGCTTGATTTTTTTTTTTAGTGTCCAGGTACTGACTGATGGTATTATGCATCCTGATTGATTTTAGAACACCAGTTTGAAAGAGAAACATCATGATTTCAAACTCGATGGAATTACCACATTTTAAAACATTAACTTTTGTTGTTTGTAAATAATACACAAAGACATTCTTCCTATTAAGGAGCCAACCAATAAATGTCTCTATGGGACTAAATATGAAAACTACTGTTTATCGGCTCCTTGCAACTTCAAGACTCTAGAGTTAAATGTTCTTACAGTATTGTGTGTATCTTTTCATTCCTATTTCTGTGCCTTTACAAACCTTTACATGCACAAACAAGTAGTAATTTTTACTGAAAAAAAAATAGAATCATATTGCTTGTTGTATTAATTTTCTACTACTGTATCAAAACATCACCAATGTAGTGGCTTACATCAACACGAATGTCTTTACTCACAGTTATGTAGATGTGAGGTCTGGCATGGCTTATTGAGGTGATCTTCTTTGGGTCCCACCTAGCTGAAAGTAAAGTGTCAGCCAAGCTTAGCTCTGAGGTAAAGGCATAGGAAAGGAATCTGCCTCTATCTCACTTAGATTGTTGGTAGAAATCTACTTGCAGCTGTAAATCTGCCCATCTTGTTTCCTGATTTGCTACTGACCAAAGGCTACTGTCAGCTAGCCCTTGGTCAAGGCCACCCACATCCCTTTGGCATAGTCCTCTCCAGCTTCAAAGCAGTGACAGTAAGCAAAGTTCTTCTCAAGCTTCAAATCTCTCTGAATTTCCTCCTGCCCTCACCTAGGAGAAAGCTGTGCTTTTAAGAACTCAGGTGATTACATTGGACTCAACAGATAACAATAATCATCTGATTTTAAGGTTAGTTAATTATTGGCCCTTATTGGATCTGTAAAGTCCCTTTCTCCGTACAATAAAACATATTCCTGGGAATAACACCAAAAAGAGGCAATCATGGAGGCTGGATTCTGCCCCTATGTCTGCATTATTGTGTAACTTGCTTTGTTTACTTAGCAACATATCTTTCAAATCTGTTAGTCTAATGTTTCTGGGGTTTTTACCATTTTTAAATTGTTTTATGACATCACTGTACTTCTTCCATGTCCTGGATACATAATATTTAGTCTTTTCCCTATTTGTAGAAATTTCAGGTTGGAAAATGTTTAGCTGTTACATATATATAATCTATTGCTGAGTCAATTAGTGGCCCAACTACTTTACTTAACATGTGACCTAAGTCAGCTATTTAACCTCTTTGGACTTTATTTTTTGTTTATTTGTAAAAGAAGGATACTAATACCTATTTCATAGAGCTATTGAGAAGATTAAGTAAATAAAGATACAAAGATTATCCTGACACAAAATATGCACTGAAGCTATATAAGTCATTACTATGCTATATAAGCATGAGTATTTCTGTGACATAATTTCCTAGAAGTGGGATTTGGATCAAATAACACACTTTTAACTTAGAAAGATAAAAGCAAATTGCTTTATGGTAAATCCGCCCCGGTAAGGAAAACATCACTTTCTGATTTTTTTCTGATACTCTAATACTGAATTAGATTCCCCTTATTTAAAAAGCATTTATTTTGTGCCTATGATGTGCTAGGCACCTCCTAAGCATATAGAATACAATTGTGAGCAAATCAGGCATGGTTGGTCCTTGCTCATTGAATTGACAACTTAGAAATTTTTCAAGAAATAAAGATAATAAAACAATTTTTTATTGTAAATTGTGATTAGTGCTATGTATAAAGAGACAAAGATCCAAGAAAGCATGCAGCAGGGAACCAGGTTTTGTCCAGAGAGTCAGTAACCATCATAGAGTTAATATTAACTTGTGCTAGTATGAAGGAAAGATAGAATGAGATTACTTATCAAAAGAAATGAATTACTAAGTCTTAGCATTACAATGGCTATAGGTATAATATTAATAATCATCATTATAATTGATGTGAAAAAGAATTACCAAGATAATACTTAAGTTTTCACCCTGCAAAACTATATAGGCAGTAGTGCCAATCGTTAAGACAAGGGACAATTAAGCAAGTTCAAGTTGGGAAGGGAAAATGTTTTATACAAAAATACACTGAATTTGAGAGTTTGCAACATGAAAGAGATGTCAAATATACAGTAAAATATTCAGAACTCAGAAGAAATCTGAGCTGGAGATAGATACGTTGGAGTGTTAGTTTTAAAGTAGTAATGGAAGCCATCGGGGTAGATGAGATTATGCAGCCCTTTAAAATCTGGAGCTACATTGTTTAATATAGAAACCACTACCACATGGGGATACAGAGCATTTGAAATTTAGCTAGTCTGAATCTGAAATCACACCAGACTTTGAAGATTTAGGAGAAGACAAAGAATGGAAAATATCTCATTAATTCATATTTATATTGGTTGCACGTTGAGAAGATAATATTTTGGATAAATTGGAATGTTAAGATTAATCTTATTTGTTTCTTTTTACATTTTGATGTAGCTACTAGAACATTTAAAATTACACATGACATTTGTAACTCATGCTTCTATTGGATAGCAGTGGTATAATGAGAAAGATGAACACCTAAACTTGAGCTTTGAGACAAGTATTTGACAGCTTTGGAGAGAATGATTAGCTGCAAAGAATATTGTAAAATAGTGGTCAAAGTAGTAAGAGAAAAATCAGGTTTACTTGGAAGCAAAGAAAAGAGTATATGTTTTAAAATTGTTCTATGATAGGTATGTTCAGAAGTCATGAAAAATACAGATTGAAAATATGCCTTGGATTTAATGATTAGGATTTTTTTAAGGTAGTGACATTTATTTCAGTAGAGATGGATAAGTTGAAGCCCACTTTTTGAATATTGATGAATCAATTGAACATAAAGATTTGGAGATTGGGAGGGTAGACAAATCTTACCAATTTAGCTATAAAGAGGAAATGAGATGAAGGGATGCGTTTTAATATGAAGAGACCTGAATTTGTTTAACATCCAAGAGAATTATCCAGAAAAGAATGAAAGTTTCCAGATATAGGAGAAATTCAAGACAATGAATAGGTTGTAGTTTCTGGGAAGTAGAGTAAGAGAGACCTTCAACCAAAGCACTAATGACATTTTAAATAACTATATATTTTCTCATCTATGTCTATCATTAGACTATAATGTCCAAAAAGATAGGAAATATTTGTTCATTGCCTAATTCTTAACATATATTATGAAGAGTTCTGTACTTAATATAGCTTCAAGGTATATTTACTACTTCAAGAAAACAGGAGTGTTGAATATACATACACATTTGCAATGATTACTATGATCACAGTGCACAGTTCTTAAATGTGAGATGCTTGTTAATGAAGAGAAGAGAATTCTTGGAGTTTATAATTCACAATAGAAAAAAAATGGAGAGAGGACCATTAAGTATCATTATGTTTATATACTTATTATGTTTACAGACTGTTTACGTACATACTAGACCACAGACACCTGTGGATGCCTCAAATTGCTGAAATATGGGAAGCTTAGGAGAAAGGGTGAATTACAGGGTCAATTAAAGAAAGATCAATTGAAAAGAAATGAACAAAATATTCACTTATAAAGAAGTGAACAAATCCCAAAAACACCTTCCCCTTGCGCTCCTTCAAATGTAAGCAGTTATTGTTACTGCATTTCTTGATATCCATTGTCACTTTTTTATATATAACTCTAACTAGGTTAAATCATTTTGTAACTTTTTATTTCAATAATCTCTCCTAGTGAAGCTTCTGCTGTTGAGACAGTGCATATGCCAAAGTTTTCTGCCAGGACTGAGCTATGTACAAGCCTGAATGAATGTGAAAACAGCATTATATTGGAAGTGACTAAATGATTGGACTTTGCTGATTTTCCCTACCCTTAATGCACATTTCACTTTTCCTTCTCTATTGGTCTTAGATAGTGATGTCAGTGCTGTCATTTTGCTATAGGTCAGTGTACTCATTGTTTCCTAAAAAATGAATCTGGATAAAATCTGAAAGTTTTGGAGACACTATATTTTGGATAATATTTACTGAAGACTTAAATTTTCCATAGACTGATGTAAGCATATTAGGGGGTTAATTAATTTTATCCTAAAACCAATTTATAGAGAAGATACTGTCATCATCATCATCAGCCTCATCATCATCTTTGTTTCATGAATGAGGATGGGGAGGCACAGAGACTTTAAATAACTTCCCTAAAGTCACACAGCTAATAAGTGCTACATTGAGATTTGAGTTCATATGCCTTTACTCTAGATCCCTGCCTTACAACTACCAATTTCCTTGCTAAATTCAGAAGGAAATAAGCTGGTTATATTCACATAACAGGGATAGGAAACTCAGTGATCTCATGAAATAGGTTGAAGGCATTAAAATATTCCTCTAAAACCATAAAGAAAAGAAAAGGATGTGGAATATTGCCTTGAGATCTGGCCTTCAATAGACACCCTTCCAATAAGCAACCATAGCTTTATCATAAGTTAAACCCCCCTTAGTCTCAATTTCCTCTTGGGTAAAATCATTTGGTTGGACTAATTGTTAAGAAGGTCGTTTGAAACCATAAAATGGTGGAATTTCTGACAAACTCCAATCAACAGATTTCATGTTAAAAATAATCATCTTAGCAAGTAGGCTACCAGACAGTAAATGATGAATATGTAAGTGGAAAAGGACACTATCACACATTTTCAGTGAAATCGTTATGAGAGAAATCTCTTTAATTTTCCTTTTAAAACATTTCTACCAAGTATGATGGATGACTAATTAGATGTTAATTGTTCATGTCTACTGATTAGGAAACTTAGGAAGGGTTTTAGAGCATTGATTTAATAAGGAGTGACACTTGAATCTTACTCATAATTAGCTTATTACATTTGGCTGCAGTTTGAATCTGTGCTATGGGAATGATTTAAAGAGATTAATCTTTTTCAAGGACCAAGTAAGTGCTGACACGTTACCTGAGAACACCTTGCAAACTAACTGAGACAATGATGACCTGATTCTCTCTGATATATTGATATGCTTGTTAGGTTAAAGGGAAAATAAGAGATCTAGACTTTAGATAGGTCACAAGCTCCCAAATCAGCTTTTAGTGGTTACACAATTAACACCCTTGTGACACTTTTAATAGGGGAAATTTCATGGTCCCAAGCAATGAAAAATCCATTTTTTTCAGTCTGTACTTCAAAAAATAAGCTATTTGTTCTTTACAAAATTTGTTGGATAAGAATCCTTTCAATGCAGATTGAAAGAGCTCTTGCAACAGCAGGAAAAACAAAATTAAGTGAGAGCTGCTTAGCTTCAATAAAGATAAAGAAAACTTCAGAAATATTTTCAAAATAATTTAGCAAATTCTTGTGTACCTAATATCCAGCTTAAGAAATGGAATATTACGAACTTGATTAAGCCTTCGGCATTGCCTGAGGTTGGAATATATTATTCTAGGCATGTTTTTACTATATATTTCTACATCTTCAAAAGATAGTTTGTATTATTTCATTATTGAAATTTAATGTAGCTTAATAAATACCTTTTTCTCTTCTTAAGTTCAGAAACAATTGAGAGATAAATTAGCAAGTCAGTTAGATGGAGATAGCTTGATAGCTGGCGTAGAGGGTGCAGCAACAATGAACACCTGGATTCTGAACTCGAGAAATGGAGTAACCTACTGTTTCACTAGAAGAGAATAATTGCAGAACTTCCCATTGGGAGGAATATAGTACTGCCTGCACAAGCAGCCCAGAATGTGTCTCT